TCAGGCAGGTGTCTTGCTCGGCTGTGCCTTGGGGGGCACTTTTTTCGGTGCTATTGTAACTTCGAATAGTCACTAAGCAAACTGTTGTAAGTCGAGGACTACCTGTACTTTATCACTTTTTTCCTTTGGGGGGGTCATCAAGTTTTTGACACCTTGCTAGGCGACTGGTGGTACTCGGATGTTTCCATATCCTAAAAGTGGTACAATGGGTGAAAAGATTGAAAAGCCCTGATCTAGAGGGGAGCAAGGTGCCTTTTATATATTGTCAAAGCAAGAACATCCAATGTTAGCAGTGTTGACACTCAGGTTGGTTAATGTGACTAACTTGTATTACGACCATAATGACTTTAATGACCGTAATGGGTAGGCTCCATTATGGATCGTATGTCGAGAACTACCTGTACTGTGAGGGTCTTTTGAAAATCTTCGAAAATTAGAATTTGGCAGTTGGTGAGAGAGACCAAACGCCGTCTTCAGATGTTTCTTCCGGTCTTCATGGATAATATCTCTGATACAAAAAAATATATTCTTTTTTTTCTCACTTCGTTCTTTTGTCATTTCCCTCTTTGCTTTTTTTTTTTTTTGAGGAATGCACAACTGAGATAATTGAATAGCGAAGCATTTTGTGTGTGTACACTGATTTTATGTGTGTGTGTGTGTTGTTAGTCTCTTTAAATATATTATACAGGTCCTCAATTTACAAGCACAGCTGAGCCCAAAATTTCCGTTGCTAAGCGAGACAGAGGTTAAGTGAGTTTTGCCCCGCTTTGCGACATTTCTTGCCACAATCGTTAAGGGAATCCGTTCAGTTGTTAAATTAGTAACCCAGTTGTTAAGTGAATCTGACTTCCCCCATTGATTTTGCTTGTCAGAAGATCGCAAAACGGGATCACGTGACTCAGGGACACTGCAACTGTCATAAGTACGAGTTAGTTGCCAAGCTTCTGAATTTTGATCACGTGACCACGGGGATGCTATGATGGTCGTATGTGTGAAAAATAGTATTTTTTCAGTCCCACTGTAACTTGTAACAGTCACTAAACAAGACAGTTTCCACATTAATAATCCTATATCAGGTATATTAAATTTTCTCTCCATTTTGACAGTCTGTTAGTTTTTATTTGTCCTTTTATTTTTATTTTTTTTCAGAAACCGTCCTTTCACACTCACACACACACACACACACACACACACACACAGGCTTTCAGTATATCTAGGAATCCTATGAATAGGGGAATTGAATTATTTTTACAAAACTGTAATACACTTAATAACTATCTATCAAAGCTGGCCGGTTATTGTGCTTGGCGTGCATCTAGATTGAGGCAGCGGTCGCGTTTCACCTCTGATTAATTTAAGATGGTGAGCGAAGTAGTTTAGTATAGAATTTATAGTCTGCCTTAAGTAATGAAAGAGAAGCTTGCCAGGATAGATTGATAACGTGAAGATTAAAATAGATTTCTGTAGAATTCTCCAGACAGCTGAGTCGAGGACTGGCTGTACCCACCCACAGAAGTTCATCTGCAGCGAGTGTCAGTGACAGAATCATAATGTCAGCTAGTTTGGGTCATGAAACGTGGGCAAGAAAACAACCAAGCTCAGAGAGCACCAGGGACCCCACAGTCGTCGTCCTCCTCCTCCTTCTTTCTCCTTCTCCTTCTTCCTCTTCCTCTTTCTCTCTTCCTCCTCCTCCTCCTCCTCTCCCTTTTAGCACTGATGACGTTACCTAGTTGGGTAATGAAACATCTGCAAAAAATCAACCAAGCTCAGAGAGCACCAAGGACCCCACAGTGGTCCTTCTCCTTCTTCTCCTCCTCCTTCTTCTTCTCCTCCTCCTTCTTCTTCTCCTTCTCCTCCTTCTTCTCCTCCTCCTCCTTCTCCTCCTCTTCCTCCTCCTTCTTTTTCTTTTTTCTCCTTCTCCTTCTTCCTCTTCCTCTTCTCCTTCTCCTCCTCCTCTCCCTTTTAGCACTGATGATGTTACCTAGCTGGGTAATGAAATGTCTGCAAAAAATCAACCAAGCTCAGAGAGCACCAAGGACCCCACAGTCCTCCTCCTCCTCCTCTCCTTTCTAGCATTGATGATGTTCCCTAGTTGGGTCATGAAATGTCTGCAAGAAAGCAAGCAAGCTCAGAGAGTACCAAGGACCCCACAGTCCTCCTCCTCCTTTTTCTTTTTTCTCCTTCTCTTTCTTCCTCTTCCTCTTCTCCTCCTCCTCCTCTCTCTTTTAGCACTGATGACGTTACCTAGTTGGGTAATGAAATGTCTGCAAAAAATCAACCAAGCTCAGAGAGCACCAAGGACCCCACTGTCCTCCTCCTCCTTCTTCTCCTCCTCCTCCTCTTCTCCCTTTTAGCACTGATGATGTTACCTAGCTGGGTAATGAAATGTCTGCAAAAAATCAACCAAGCTCAGAGAGCACCAAAGACCCCACAGTCGTCCTCCTCCTCCTCCTCCTCCTCCTCCTCCTCCTCCTCCTCCTCTCCCTTTTAGCACTGATGATGTTACCTAGCTGGGTAATGAAATGTCTGCAAGGAAACAACCAAGCTCAGAGAGCACCAAGGACCCCACAATAATCCTCCTCCTCCTCCTCCTCCTCTCCCTTCTAGCATTGATGATGTTACCTAGTTGGGTCATGAAATGTCTGCAAGAAAACAAGCAAGCTGAGATAGTACCAAGGACCCCTCATGTCAACTCTGAGCTACAAATATTCTCCTTCATTGGTTGCATACTTCGCTTGGACATAAATGGCGGTGGCGCTTTGATCATCTGCTTACCTTCCCTTTTTTGAGATCCCCTTATTTCCATCTTCACCCCTTCCAAAACAGAGGGAATATTCCAGCTGAAACATTCAACAAAAACCCTTGATGTGCCTAATATTGATGAACTTTAATTGTCATAACATTAACTTTATAAATATTAAGCCATTTGTGGAAGTAGGTTGTTTTTTTAAATTTTCTTTCATGATGCATCAATAGAAGCAACACACCATGACAATATTTTCAGAAGATCAGCAATTAGCTAGATGCTCAATGTCTTTCTGCTTCAAAATAATAATTTTTAATTACGTTTCCCAATGTTTCAGGTAATGGTTTTTTTTCCTGAAACCTTTCCAGTGGGTCACTGATCAGTGGATTTCTTTTCCACTGCTAAAACATGTTTGAAGAAGATAATTAATTCATGTATTGGCTGTTTTCCCCGTCGGCACTCAGTATAATAATGTATTAGACAAAAGCAATACAGGCAGTCCTCATCTTAAAAGACTAAGCACAGTTGGAAGATGAAGTCTATTCTTCTGGACCACCCTCTTTTCACAGATCCTGAAGCTCTGGACTTTGCTCTCTCAAACTGGGGGTGGCTGCCACAGTAGTTCTCAATCTTGACAACTTTAAAAAAAAGTGGACTTCAATTCCCAGAATTCCCCAGCTACCATGTCTGGCTGAGGAATTCTGGGAGTTGAAGTCCATGAATTCTAGTCCCACCTTAGGCATGAAAAACAAACTGGGTGACTTTGAGCCAATCATCAGGAGATGATGAGTTCTCTGTCTCTCTCTGTGTCTATTTCTCTCTCTGTGTGTGTCTATTTCTCTGTCTCTCTCTCTCTCTGTGTGTGTGTGTGTGTGTGTCTGTCTGTCTGTCTGTCTGTCTGTCTCTGTCTGTCTGTCTGTCTCTCTCATGTCCCCCCTCGTCCTTCTCTTCATTAAACGAGACATACCCAATTCCAGCAATCGTTCTTCGTATGTTTTAGCCTCCAGTCCCCTGATCATCTTTGTTGCTCTTCTCTGCACTCTTTCTAGAGTCTCAACATCTTTTTTTTTGTGGAGGGGCTATATTAACCAACACAACTCTCCTAAAACTTAATACTATATATCAGTGATGGCGAACCTTTTAGAGACAGAGTGCCCAAACTGCAACCCCAAACCCACTTATGCATCGTCGAATGCCGGGTCGGTGTGCCCATTGGGTGGGCGTGGCCCATTGGGTGGGCGTGGCTGCGGTGGTAACGGCAGACTGGGTGGGACTAAAAAGTTCAATCAATCAATTCCAACTTTGCAAGATCTTTTGTTTTCCCGCAAGAAGTTGAAATTGACTGATTGATTGAACCTTTTTTGTTGCACACGGCGGCGGAGGCCTAAAGCGAAAAGGTTTTATAAAACCCAGCTGAAGGCCCAGGACTGGGACGACGGCACGCGTGCCACAGAGAGGGCTCTGAGTGCCGCCTCTGGCACCCGTGCCATAGGTTCGCCACCACTGCTATATATCCTTACAGAAGATTAAAAAAAGTAGTTTGTAATATATCGCAGTATAGCCAGTGAGAAAAAAAAGAACGTACAACCCTGGCAGGCTGCCTCCCGCTGCAAATCCGTTTTCTCTTTTCTTTCCCAGTCCCAGGAAAGCCGATCCTGTCCGTCTATCCCACCCAAGAAAACTCTCTTCTGGTCAAATGGGAACCCCCTCTGGAAGCCGAAAGCCAAGTGCTGGGCTACCGCCTCCAGTTCGGCCGCAAGGACGTCGACCCGCTGGCCACCCTGGAATTTGCTGCCCAGGAAGACAAATACACCGCCACCCACGTCCACAAAGGTGCCACGTACGTCTTCAAGCTAGCCGTGAAGAGCCGAGCTGGCTTTGGGGAGGAAGCGTTGCAGGAAATTACCATCCCAGAAGATGCGCCGAAAGGTTACCCCCAGATTCTCGAGGCGAGCAACATCACCTCCAGATCGGTCCAGGTGAAGTGGATGCCCCCCGTCTTAGCCGAGCGGAACGGGGTCATCGTCAAGTACACCGTGGCCTACCGGGAGACCACCTCTTCGGGAAACCCCCAGGAGAAAGAGCTGCCCCCCTCTCCAGAAAACTCATACATCTTGAACGGTCTCAAGCCCAACACCGCTTACGATGTTAAAATCCGAGCCCATACCAGTAAAGGTCCCGGGCCGTACAGCCCGACTGTTCAGTATCGGACGGTCCTTCTGGATCAAGGTAGGACTTGCCGGTTTCTACCCCAAAGGGTGTCTCTCTCTCTCTCTCTGAATCCTGGAAGGCAGAGAAGCCAAAAACCTAAACCCAAAAAACTGCTGTAATCCTAAACTCCTCGCCGGCTTGAAGATACGGCGTGTGAGTACCACTTTAAAAAAAAAAAAAGCAAGCAGGCTTTTAAAAACCAATCGTAACAAGGCAAGTGGTTTCCCTTTTGCCTTCGGCAGGTAAGTCTTTTTTTCCTTTTTTTTTCCCCCGCTAAAGTCCAGTCCAAGGCAGCCTCTTGATTGACAGCTGGGCGGAGCAGTTGCCAACACAGGTGGGCGGAGTTTTTTCTTCAGCTTTTGCCCCCCCTCCTCCCTCTCTTCGATCTCTTTTGATCTCTTTTTTTTCCTTTCTTTTCTTTTCTTTATTCTTTTTTTTTTATTTTTTGCAAGCCGGTCAAGGAGAAAAATACACCTGTGCGAACCCGTTTTAAAACGACAAACCCACGTTATATTCCACGCGGAGTTTCTGTCCTCAGCAGCCAAATGGGAGAATTTGTAGTTGATTTTCGTTTGTACTGGGCACTGGGATCACATGGTGGTGTTTTTTTTTAAATTAGCGTAACAGGGTGTTGCAGGCTTGAATAAGAGTTTTTCGAGAGGCACAGATGGCCAGAGGTAATTTTGGGGGGGCTGAAGTAGGACGCAGTGTGTAGAAAACACGTCACGGTTGATGAAATCCGAACTCTGTCGTTTTCACTCCGAGTTGCCCGCTCTGCCCTTCGTTGACTGTTTTTCTTCCCCACAGTTTTTCCCAAAAACTTCAGAGTGAAAATGATCACCAAGACGTCGGTCCTTCTGGGCTGGGAATTTCCTGAAAATTACAACTCCCCTATTTCATACAAGGTACGTGTTTAATGTCTGCTAGAGACCCTTGTCAGATGCTATATTTTTTTCTATCCTCCTCTATGGAGTAGAGCAGTGGTGGCGAACCTATGGCACGCGTGCCAGAGGCAGCACTCAGAGCCCTCTCTGTGGGCACACGCGCCTCGCTCTTTGGCTAGGTTTTTGCAGGAAAAAGCCATTTCTCAAAGCCCCTTCCTAGCCAGAACAAGCCTCCGGAGCGAGCGGGCTGTTTTCAGCTTTGAGTTAGATCAAATCTGATGCCAGAAACAGACTAACAGATGACCTGAGTGCCGCATGTGTTGCTTTCAAACTTATACAAAGTATAAGCCAAGGTTAGACAAATTGTCAGCATGCGTACAACAGCAAAAATCACATTCATTGTTCAAAAGCATGCCAAATTTTTACCTTTCAGTAAAAAGTTGTTTGTATCATTGAAAGCTTTGTTATTGTGTTTTTCTTTTAAGACAAAAGATGTTAATGTATGAGTTGTTTTTTTCTAAACTAAAACCTCGGCATTCAGATTAAATTGCCGTGTTGTTGGCACTTTGCGATCAATAAGTGAGTTTTGGGTTGCAGTTTGGTTCGCCATCACTGGAGTAGAGAGTTGGTCTCTGACAGAAGGCCACCTGAAGAGATTAGAAGCATTTGAAATGTGGATTTACAGACAGCTGTTACGTACAAGCTGGGCTGACAAGATCAGAAATGAGGAGGTGATAAGCCGCCTGGGAAAGCCAAGGGAAATCATCAAAACAATTAAAAAACGAAAATCAGAATATTTCGGACATGGGATGCGACACCCAGAAAAATACGGCACACTCCCATTTAATCCTCCAGGGAAAGATTGAAGGCAAACGAGGTCCAGGCAGAAGAAGAACATTGTGGCTTCAAAATCTAAGGGACTGATTTGGACCAAACTCAGCAGCACTTTTTCATGCAGCTGCTGATAAAAACAGGATCGCCAACGGGATCGCCAACGTCCGATAACGGATGTAGAAGAAGAAGAAGAAATCCTTGAAAAGGGGGATCCTGCATCCTTTGTGCAACAGAGGCAATTTGGTCAGTTGATCACCCACCCATCGTACAAACGAAGCAGGATCCCCGTTTGTGCTATTTGTGCTGGGACGTCATGACCAGGGCTTTTTTTCAGCCGGAACGCGGCGGAACCGCGTTCCGGCACCTTTTTCCGGGCCGGCCGCACCGGAAATAGCCCCTCCCACACCGGAAATAGCCCCTCCCAAATTTTACTTGCATTCCTGTTCTCTAAAGGGGCGGTCCTAGGGTTTGATGAGGGCGTGGCCAGGTTTGAGTTCCGCCACCTTTTCTC